TGGTGGTATCCCGAGGGCAAGGGCTTTGTTTTTCTCAGACTGCTGGGGGTGGGGCTCAGCACACCGGGCTGCTTCTGCCCAGGCCCTTTGCTTTCAAGTGCATTTCCCTTTGGGAGCCTCCAGGAGCTTGGAGATGGGGCAGGGAGAAGTGTAGGGTAGGGATGAGTCGTTCCCTTCAGATAGGGAGACCTGAGGACATGATTCTTAGACTTCAGGGGCGTTTCTTCAAATACCCAAATGTCTGTGCCACGTGGCCAGGGGATGAGTCAGCAGGGCGGGGCAGGCCTCTGGATGTTTCCTCAGGCCCCTCCCCCCTCGCTGGGAGCAGGTGTCCAGACTTGTGCTTTAGGGAATAATGCCCCCAACTTTCCCCTCACTCTTGCCAATCTACTCTTTCTCCCATGACCCTCCCCCTGCCCTCCAAATTTGTAGCAGTCTGGGCAAAAGGGTTTCCTCTGGGCTAATTGGCTGATGCCTAGCTTCGGGTGGCCTCGAATTCATTCCACACGGAGTCTAGTTAATTTGCTGTTGAAAGAATTTCATTGGTAAAGTCCCTTATGCCCCTCATGCCCTCATTGCATTGTTTAATGGTCCTCGCTATTTAGAAACATTCTGAAACCTTCCATCTCCATGGCTGTGTGCCTAGCCTCCCAGACCACTCCTTAACGGGGTGCTCTTCTTAACAGGGGGTGCTGAAGTTTTCAGAGTCCCGGGCAGGGTTTATGAATCCTCACAACGAGCTTTCACAAGAACCATTTTCTTGTGAAAATAGAAAAGTTTGTAATTTTGGTGATGTCTCTTACCAATTTAGTAAGTTAGGTAAATGCGTGATACTTGCAGCGATTTGGCAAAGACAGAAATGGAACAAAGGGAGCCCACACACACCATGGGTTCGTCTCCCCAGAATAGCTGCTGCTTTTACCGTTTTCATGCATTTCCTTCTGCTGTGTCTTCTAGTCCTGAAAATAACAATTGGTATTGTACAATACATGTTTTCTCTGTACAGTTTTATCTACCAGCTACTGCTTGTGGAAAGTCACATCAGCCATGTTTCTCATGGTTGCTCTCTCCATGCTAAGAGGGCTGGTGTTTCAGGGAGTAGATTGCCTGGCTCCCTCCGTGCCCTGGGGGGATTGTTGGCTGCGTAATTTTCTTTTTTAAAATACCTTCTTCTCCTCATTTTAAAGACCCTTTCCCCAGATCTGATGCCTGCTTCCATCAGGGTAGGAGTCTGAATTTCTCATCCATCGAGGCTGTGATGTGGTGGCAAGAGAAGGGTGAGAGTCGCACTGATTGTGTATGTGAGTCCTGTCCCCTTCTGCCCTCTCTGTCAACTCCAGTAAGGAAGTCACTTCCTTTTGATGAGTGTTCATCTCGTTATAATAACGAGGGGACCGTAATTCCTGCTCTCAGGCTGTCACAGGCACTGTGCGCAATGTGCCTGACACCCACTAGGTGCTTTACAAAGATGTTAATACACTACCCCATGGCCCCTGAATCTTGTATTGCTCTTTGGCTGTTTGCTTTTGTGTGCACTGGGGCTGTTGCTTCCTCTCTTGGGGATCCTCAGGCTGTTTGGGTACTGCTGTTTCTGGGGCACTGGGTCCATTGTGCAGGCTCAGTGGGCTGATGAATAACTTACAGGCAAGCCTTTTGTTCCAAGGTATTCTTCCCCTTGTCTCTGTGGCCTGGCTCATCTGTCAGCTAGAGCTCTGGGGAACAATAGTCACTGATACTCAGGGGCAGCGGCAAAGGCTGACTGAGGGTGACAGCTGTCTCCCCATCCCTCCCAGGGTGATCCGATCTGATGAGGCAGGTGTCCTCTTCTCCCTGTGGTGCCAGGTGGGCCCCTCTGGAAGCTACTGGATGACTCATGGATGGGAGAGGCTGAACTATTGTGTCTACAATGGAGTGGCTGTAGATGATTGATGGTCGTGAACTCCAGCTACCAGTTAACCCCCAGAGGCTGCCTCAGGCAGACCCCATGAAAAGGCTGGGGATTGGGCATTGCAGAGGAGAGCTCTTTTGAGATGAGACTCAGAGAGGTGAAGTGACTGACTCAGGGTCACACAGCTTGTTAGTGAGTCGGGATTTGAACCTGAATCCAGTGTTTTTGTAATTAACTATCACACCAGGCTATCTCCCCTTCTAAAAGTGAACTTAACCAGTTGGGAGTCCCGGAAGCCACTGGTATAAACCTGTCTGAAATAGATGGATATCATGGGCTCATTTTCACACAGATGTTTATGGTGGCTATTAGTTTATTCATAGCATCTTCAAGCTCTTTTCTCATTGAATGCCCACCCCACATCTGAACATGAGTCTTTTGCCCCTCTTGGGGTTTAACAAGTCTGTTTTGGATCCAATAGCATCATTTTGTAGCTGGGTAATCTTGCAGCAGGATCTGAGCAAGATTTACTCTGAATCTTAGTTTTCTCATCTGTGAACTAGGTATAAGAAGACCTTTGTGGCCCTCCCTGGTGGCGCAACGGGTTAAAGCGCAGCACTGCAAGCCCGCTGCAGCAGTGTGAGTTCAAACAACACCACACTCCATGGGCGCTGCAGCAGCTACAAAGACGACGCCGGCAGCGCTCGGGGGACGGGAGGGAGGGAGGCTGCGGACGAGTGCGGGGAGGAGTTTGTGAT